GAAACACGGATTATAAAGCATTAGCCATTCAGGAGCAGGCTCATGTTACAACAATGCCGGTCAGGTGCAGCAGGCTCATGTTACAACAATGCCAGTCAGGTGCAGCAGGCTCATGTTACAACAATGCCGGTCAGGTGCAGCAGGCTCATGTTACGGCACTGGAACTTTGACTTGGAGTTGACCATATATCACTATTTTCAATAACCCTGAGCACATCTGCATATGCAAATAGGGAAATAATCCACAAAAAAAAGCAAGAGTTCCACAAGTGAGAAGTGCAAGAAAAACTATTAGAACTTACAGTTACATTTAACAATTTCAAGATTAAAATGATGAGATTTTGCTGCCAATCTAGTACTGCAATAAAATTCATAGCCTAGAGAAAGCTCATCAGAATAATTAAAGTATTTACAGAAAACGGAAGCTATGTGACACCCCATTTAGGGAAAGTGACTGAAGCCGAGATGTCATGGCCAAGACATTGCAGATTCTTCTTACTTTCATCTGCTAGCTTAGAATTTCATTTAAGCAATTAATGAACTTTTTCCAACTGAGCATTACATTTTCTTGAACAAGACTTTTCCTTATCTAGGCTGGTAGACATTAATTTTAATGTCTGTAAATAAACAAGGATGTTGACTGAAACACATATACCTACAAAGATCCTATTATAATTGTTCTTGTGTATCCTTTCTTTAGTTTGCATGACCATTACGCCCTGCCAATACCTCATAAATAATGGACTATTCCTTTTTGATTGTGTAGAAAGATGAGGCAAAAAGAAAAGACAAATGGAGAGGGAATCAGATTAAGCTGATAAAAACAGAAACTACACTTTGATCTTAAAAAGGCTTGATGGCAACTTCTATAAAGGTGACATTTTTCAGATTCACTGTATCGAATGATGGAAACCAAGTAAGGCAATCACCAAAAATCCATTTACCATAAATAAAATAAAAATTGGTTGATGAATTATTTTTTTTAATTATTATTAAGAGAAATGTTCATAATATATATGGCTAGTAATATTGCAAAATTCTGTTAATGCTATAAAAACCTATATTAAAATTGCATATAAAAAAAATAAAGAGTGGAGAAGAGGCAAGGATAATAAAATAAACCACAATATAGGGGTGAATTGAAATAATAAACAAGAAAATAACAAAAAAAAAAAAAAACCCTGAGCAGATTCCAATCCTCACTCTTCACAGACAATTGAGGACAAACATGTAAATTTTTAATGTCTGTAAAAAAATTTTTTTTTTTTTTTTTCCTTTCAATCAATTTGCTCCAAAACAAGGCAACAATGCCACTAAGCCAAAAGGAGCTACTAGGAGTGAAAAAGAATAAAAAGATTTTGGAAGAAACCTAAAACCCAATCCTGAACAGTAGGCAAACCTATCTGATTCTATGGGGGGGGTACAATTAGTAAATAAAATTTCAGCATTCAGGTGGAGATGTTAGAAGTATAGAGTTGAAGAAAACTTTAGTTGGAACTGGAAACCCAACCATAAACAAGGGATAAACCTCTGCTCCTGTTCAAAAGACCAGGGAGGAGTGTGAACCAGATGATGGGCAAAACTATCTAGACCAAAAATGAAGCATTGTCACTATATCTGAACTGGAGCTACACAATCCACACATTCCAGCCATGATAAAGTTCAAAAATATTACACAGCCTTGTGGGTGATAAATTATGACCCCCACCTAAACCATTTTCCCACTAACATCACAAGCCTATAGCCATTTCTATGGCAAATTGTTGTAATGGAATGTCCCACTCTCCCTATCACCTATTGTGGACTGACAATATCAGTAGATATATATATATATATATATATATATATATAGTGAGCACAATATACTTGGCCACTTGCTTCAGGAATTAGTTGGCAATTCGTCTCCAGTTGTGCTGGTCAAACTCTCTACCTCTAGACAGAGAGGATCCCCAGACAAAGGACAGTCTCTCTTCTCAGGGAAACAGCTACCTTTGGCTGAGCCTTCGGGCTTGGATACCCTATGTTAAATTCAGCATTGTGCCACATCTGACCACGTGGGGTGATTGGTAGATAACCTTGCTTCGGGAATTACTAGCCTGTTAACCAATTCCCCGTCTTTCAGTAGTGCATTCTCTTTTACACTAAATCTCCCTTTCTTTCATCTGCATGCGTACTACCTTTATCTGTTTGTAATCTTCTTTAAGGATACAAATGATCAGGCGAGCTTCATGCATTAGTTCCACCAATCTAGACCTTTACAGCTAGGATCTGCCATGTCTCATTACAGGATCAAATCATCATTCTCTTCATATTCCATTGATAAGGAGGAAGTTCCACTCAGGCAGCTTTTTCACCATTGTAGAACAAACTCCCAAGAGAATGCTTCCCAATCTTAACCTCTTCAAGTAGTGGAATCTACATAACCTCATAATTGCACTTCTTTCTTCCTCCTCATGCTCTTACAACAACCTCATTCTACTTTGAGTGGCTCTTGGGCATTGTAATGAGTGAAGAAATAGTATATAAAAAAAACTTGCTATAATGATCTTTCATTAATTTCTATTTTCTTTAAATTCCAATTTTTTTTAGCCCTCAATATTTCCTCCTGCAACCATTGATGGGAGTCGGGTGCTATGCTGATAACATAGGTATTCATAGTTGGGATAAGAATGATTTTCAACAGAAAGTCAACACTGTCTAGCAAGTATTCCAAAGATATAGGACTCTATTTCTGTTTTAGAAAAAGGTTTATATTATGATATGGAATTAAAATGAAAGTGATGGTAAAATTCAAGATGAAGATCTAGTAAATGCTAATAACTTCAAATATCTCAATCTATGGATCAGTTATAGAAAATTTAGTATAGGCAATAAAGAAATTAAACATAAAAGAAGTGCAGCCTGTTCTATGTGCCGTGTCCCTTCAGGACGTAGGCGATCATGGCTCTCCACATCTTCCTATCCCTTGTAGCTCTCAATAAGTTTTGTCCCTTTGCTATTTCTCCCAGACCCTGTTCTATCATCGACTTGCTTAAGCCCGCCAAGTATGTCACGCGTTGCTTTCCCTTGTCTCTCTTCCCCTCTATTCGACCTGTGAGTATCAGATTCTTCAAGCCCTTCTTTCTTATTACGTGTCCCAGAAACTTCAGCTGCTTCTTCCTGGTGTTAAGTATAAGCTTCCTCCTTGTTTGCATCCTCTCCAAAACCTCATCGTTGCTCACACGCTCGGTCAATGATATCCTTAGCATCCTTGTGTAGAACCATACCTCCATTGTCTTGAGTCCTTTCTTTTCTCATTACGTGTCCCAGAAATTTCAGCTGCCTCTTCCTGATGTTAAGTATAAGCTTCCTCCTTGTTTGCATCCTCTCCAAAACCTCATCATTGCTCACATCCTCAGCATCCTTCTGTAGAACCATATCTCCGTCACCTCTTCTTCATCTTTGAGGAGACCATCCAACATTTGCTGCCATAAAGGAGAACAGATATCACGTAATAGTTCAGGACTCTTTGTTATCAATGAAATCCTTCTGTCAACATGGCAAATTGCTTCAAAACTTAAGCATTAATCTAAAAACTCAAGTCATGTACTTAAATAACCTCATCAGATCAACTTTCATGTGGATGTCAGGCATGGCATCAAACATCACTCAGAAATATCTGAACTCAGCTTTATACAATCTCAAGTCAATGTTTAAAAAATGGTTTTGAGTGAATGAGGCCTGTGGGTCTTGATGGACTGTACGTCTTTGAACTATGTAGACTGACACAACAGAATTGCAAAGAACTGTTCCAAATAACAGAAACCACATTACTGGAGGATTTTCAACAGCGGCAACAACTAAAATGGCTATCACATGTAACTTGAAGAAAAAATAATGACAATCACACTGTCGACTTTCCACACTAGTGCAAAGAAAATATTAGGGAGGACCCCCCCCCCCACCCATCAACACTGGGAAGATGGATAAAGATGCCTACAAAATTATGACAATTTTTCCCATGACATCGCTTTTTTTTTTGCTTTTTTTTTTTTAATTTTCTATGTTAACTACATTTTATAAACTCCCTTTTATGTTTATTGTCTTTAAAAGCGATAATTAGATTACAGATAAAACCATGAAAGTGAATTTATATATTTTCTTTGTTCTCAAGAACTGACAACAAAAAGAATAAATACTATTTATTAGATTTATATACATTATATTATTTCTTAGAATGGTTGGCAAAACATCGGATAATTGGCAATTGATTCAAACTTTATAAAATGGTAAATAATAAGGATTTTCTTATAATTGGTTCACATATTTTAATAATATGAATTTTTTTTATGAATATAAAATTTGTTTTCATTTTTATTTTAGAAATTAGTAAATGATAAATATTACATTGCATTAGTTCTAATTGTTTATTTACAACATTCTAAAAACTAATACAATCTAATAAATAGTGTTTTAATATTTTTGTAGTAAATTCTTAAAAAATGTATAAATTCACTTTATCTTTAATTTTCTAATCATCAATTTTTAAAACAATAAATATTGCCAAAGAGTGAAGGTAGTTTTAAAAAAAAAAAAAAAAAGCAAAAATATGTGGTGTCATGGGGAAAAATCATTCTTTTGACACTTTCTTATTGTGGGCAAGTTTATCCATGTTTGCCAAAGATCTTATAAATTTCACCTGACAATAGGATTTGGCTGCTTCATCAATGAATGCAAAATGTTTCCTAATAAGGAAACAGCTATTGTTACCGTTAATTCTTAATTTCAAACGATAATAGTTTCATAATTTCTGAGACCAAAGTTTCCCTGCACTAATTTTCCTAACATCAACCAAAAAAAAGTCTCATATAAATTGATTGAAACCAGGTTTTTTTTTTTTTTTGAGCCACTTTTTTTTCTTTCTTTTTTTTTCATGAAGTCCCACATTGTATTCTCTCCACATATCAAATACTGAACAATCATTGATAGTGTTTCTCTTTTCTTTTTTTTTCTTTTTTTCAGGCGAAAGAAAAAGTGCATTAGATTCCTGACTGGTGAAGACGGAACGGCCAGCAACACTGATGGAGAAGATGGTAACGATGATGTCATGAGTGATGGGATAGCGACTACAACGACGACGACGGCAGACTCTATTAATGAAAGTGACTGTAACTTAGAAAGCCCGACCATGTCTCCTCACAGCGAAGACCTTAAGGATGAACAAAAACTCGTGCAAAGTATCAAAATGGAATCTAGAGACTCCCCACCGCTCGTGCCTCGTTCCACTTCTTCGCCAAACACCTAGTGGGGTGGGAATATAAAAATTGAAAAAAAATGGCTACTTTATTCTCTCTCTCTCTCTCTTTTTTTCTCATCAACTTCAGGTGGCATAATATTTCTCCGTGTTCTGGCCTCTGTACCAAATTTGGAAACTCTGGCTTGAGATTTTAATTAAAATTTGAAAGAAAGAAAAGAAGAAAAAAAAAGGAAATGAAGTTTTCAAATTTTCTAAGAAAGGAAAAAAGAAAAGGTTTACAAAGATAATAGTTTTTTTTTTTTTTTTTTTTTTTTTTTCCCCCACCTTTAAAAAAATGTCATGCTATCACATGAATGGGCTTAGCCACCTTGTGAGATTTTTATCTTTTTAATTTTTTTTTTTTTTTTAAGTTCTTTATTTTGGGGGTAGGGGTAGGTAGGATTGGGTGGACTGATTCTCAGGGTCAGCAGTTAAAGTTCATGGTCCTCAAAACTGGCCAAAAAAATCATACTAGAGTCGTCTCAGATTGCCAAACAACTCCGTCGTACAGCTCACAATCACTTTTAAGAGATGGCTCATCTTATGTTTTCACACACACACACACTATTAAATATGTAGAGAAAAAATATACATGCATAAATCAACCTTTCAGGCCCATACACACATTTTACACACACACACACACACACACACACAAATTATCAGTTAAGCTTTGATATTATTTTTATCAGCCATCGGGTATTGTGAGCAATTTAAAACAAAAAATGACCTCGTGTCTTTTTAGGAAGAAATGAAAGAAAACAGAAATATACATTAATTTGGAGTCAAGGGTTTTTCATTTTAAATCTTACAAATTAACATAATTTGGAAATTGTCAAGAAAAAAAAAATAAAAGGAAAAATGCTTAAAAAAAAAAAATAATAATAATAATCACTGAATGAACGACATACCGAAGGTTAAAAAAAAAAATATCACTTATTCAAATCCATCCTTGTTCCGCTTTTTTCATTTTTTTTTTTCTATTTTTTTCTCTCTCTCAATATCTTTGAAATACGCTGTCTGTGGCAGTTGACACTTTTTCTGGTTATACCATTTGAAATTTTTAACAAAAAAAAAAAGGTAAAATTGATTTTAAAAAGGCAAAAAAAAATCAAGATACAGACAAACAAAATCTTCTGTTACAAAAAATAATTTTTTTTTTAAGTGATATTAAAAAAGATTAAAAAGAAAAAAAAAACACATTTCTGATCATTGTAAATATTACATGAGATAGTGAAATCACTATTTTGTGATATTAGCAATCAATGAGGGATTGTCTCCCTTGTTTCAGACTGCATCACATGCCTCGTGTCTCCATGATTTATAGCTTCATTCTCATCCTTTTCTTGTCACCCGTCTCTTCACAAATTGTCCGTCAAAGAAAGGTGAAAAAAAAATATCTTTGAAAAATTATTAAGTGTAAAAGAGAAAAAAAGGAAAATAAAAGATAGGACAGCAAGACAATTTTTAAACGACTATTATATGTTCTGTCCAGTAATTGGTTTGCTTCTTTTTTTTTTTTTTTTTTTTTCAGTGTCAAACCAAAAGAGAAATAATTAAAAAAAAAAAACAAAAAAAAAAAAAATGTTTGAAAAAAATACAAAAACAAAAAAAAAAAATTACAAAAGAAAAAAAAACACCAAAAATATATTTAAAAAAAATGATGACAAAAAAATATAGAATGGCTGTATGTATGTATCAGAAAAAAAGAAAAGAAAAAAAAACATTACATAACAGTTAAATCAAATGAGAATTGACAAAAAAAGAAAATGAAAGAAGAAAAAAAATACAAACTTTACCCCTTTTATGACCTCATAAAACATTTTTTGAGAGAAAAAAAACAACAAAACGTTAAGTTAACCAAACAAAAAAAATAAAAATAAGAAAGGAATATTTGTCGAGTCGGGCGAACAACTTTTTTTTTTTTTTCTTCTTTTTAATATTTTTTCCAGAACCTCCCCATCCCTCCCTCACATTTTTCTCTTACAGCCCTCCTCCCCATTCCTCACATCCAAACCTCCACCCCAAACAATTGCATCATGGTCATCATATCACTCAGCTATTTCTAGACAGGACAGAAAAAGGGAATATTTGTCACTAAAAAAGAAAATATTTATTTGTGCCATTAATCTCATTGCAAAATTAAAGATAAGTCCTAAGAAATTCCGAAACTAATCTATTTTAGTTTTTCAGAGTGGGTAAAACAGGCAAAATGTGCAGCAAATCCAGTCAGAGAAACTCTTTTGAATGCTTCCAACTATTTCTTTATATTCATAACAGCATTGTGTGTATCTCCACCAGCGTTCTATTTGGCTCCCCTTTTTTTCTTTTTTTTAAACAATCCACCGTTGCTCCATCCCATTTTTGTTTGTTTTTTTTTTTAATCGTTTGAATTCTTTCTTTTATATAGGTATAATGAATTCATTTTTTATCAACAAAAGAAAATTTTACATAAATTTAGTTTTTGTCAATGTTTAATTTTTTTTTTTAATTTGTAGAGAGTATAAAATATGTTTTTTATCATTTTTTTTTTATATATTAATTTCTGCTGAATTGTTTATTACATAATTTTTTTTTTCCTATTTAATATGGTATAATATTTGGTAAGTATTAAATAAATAAGAATTTTTATGATAGATTGGGAAATATAAAAAAATATATCCATAATTCAGTCTGAAGAGGGATCTTACTGTAGACCCACCCACTGCTGCTACCCCTACAGTAAATGTCATACCCCCTAAATTGCTAATAGGCTACTCATACTAGTAACTTGATGATCCATAATTCCATCTCTTGAATGAATCTAGATACATAGAGGCAGAGCCAGTTTTGAGGCAACTGGACCCTTTGTACCCATTTGGATCCTGTGCCTAAGGAGAACCCATGCTTGGGAACTTAAAAATCTAGTCCTCCACAATGCAAGTTTTAGAAGAGTACAACTATAAATTTTTATTGTTTTTTTTTTTACAACTATAAATTTAATCATTTTATTTTAAAAAAAAAAAAAAAAAAAAAAAATTCTGCTTATATTAATTGTTCAAAATTTTTTATATTTGAATGAAATATGTTAATTACAGAACAGTAAAATTTTTAAAAATTTATTAAGAGCTACAAAGGACAGGAAATTGTGGAGGGCCATGATAATCAATATGTTGATGAGACACGGCACATAGAAAATAATTTATAAACTGTATATATATATATATATATATATATACACACACACACTAAGACCTTGCCTGTGAGCCCCACAGCCAGCCCTTGATAGAGTGTAATAATTCCTAAATATTTTTAGAAAATTTTTGATAGGTATTAAATAGATAAAATTTAATATGACAGATTGGAAAGTTGTTTTAAATATTTTGAAATTCTATCTCTTGAATGAATTTAGATGCATAGAGATCTGTTTGCAATGCATAAGTCTGAGGCTAATACAACATTTACAGAAATACTACCAAAAATGAATTGTCAAAAATAATTCTTTGAAGTTATAAAAATTAAATTTCTGTAAAAATTCCTTTCAAGTTTTTTTTTTTTTAATTCTTGGATGATAGTATAATTTTGTGAAAACACTTTAAGTAATATAAGGATTTGGTTATCCATACTTCAGCTGTCTTATAAGACAATATTAAATTTAAGCAGGCTTTCATCATATAGGGGTAAGAATAGCTGACTTAATATTTTGAACCCAACTTGACAGTTAACCGACACCAGTTGTATGTTAAAGATGCAACAGATACTGATATATGTAGGTTTATTTTTTTACTTTTGTGGTAAGAAAGCAGCTATAAGATGATGGAATGAAGCTTGTGATCAATTAGGCTTCATCTGAAACCTTAAAAAAATGTACCAGCTTGTGAAACAAAATATGTTGAAAATTGGAGGAGGTGAGAGAAGAATAACAAATTGTGCTCAATGATCAGCACTTTTTGTACCTGAAAACAACATCCATGTAAGACAGGTTCTCAAAATACAAGGAGTCTTGTCAAAAGCTGTTTTATTCCAATTTCAAATTTGCTTTCACAGTTGTTTATCAACCTAGAATGATAATGATGGAATAGACTGATCTACATCATTGACCTCAGGCAAAAATCAGTCTTCACACAACAGTTAATATAGTGAACTTTATAATCTTTTTTATGGTACTATAGTATGTGCTTCACTATGGTTACATAGTGTCTTGAATTCAGTGTTGTCCTTCTCCTCGATCAGTTACCAACCATGGCTAGAGATACCAGCTATTTGACTCAGCAGAGATGGATTCATGCCTTTTCTAAGAGTATTTGTATGAAAGCGAATGTAATAAACTGGAATGGAATCTGAAATTGGCCTGCGAATTTTACATTCCAAGCCAGAAGTCATTACAGCATCTGCCCATTCTGTTGGGAGAAGAAGAAACAATCGGATGGAATTGAAACAAGTCATAAAATATCACTCCCTAGCGTTCCTATTTAGCAGCTGTATAAAGTCTCTGCTCCTCGCACATATATGGGACAACCTGACTCTGGGGATCCTGATCTACTTGCAGCACCTCCTGTATTGCACCCAAAAAGTGACAAGGTAATAGTTGCTTGGACTGGCCAGTTTTTGCCCCCATTAAACAGACCATGCATCACATACCTATACTTGTAGGTAAATATTAGGTCAAAGTATCACTCCCTAGTGCATATATATATATATATATCACATTGAGTTAATAATAGTGCTCAATGTAATATAACAGAGCTATAAATTATATATTAATACATATACATAACCCCACCACACTAGTGTATTGCACATGAAACTCTGAGTCATGCTACTGGTGAGGAGATAGATTATATATATATATATATATATATATATATATATATATATATAATAAATGATATTTGTCACTGAGCTGATTGATTCAGCACACTTACTCCAGTGTTTCATAGATGAAACTTTTTGTCATCACTCAGTCCATTCGTCAAGTGGTTCCAGCATTGGTAAAACATACTTCAAAAATTAATTTTCCTTCTATGTAT